CAGACGCAGGTTGCTCGATCGGTAGGGTGTTAGATTCAGAACCAATAAGTCTCGGATTCGAGCCTGGTCAGGTCATTTGCCTTTACTTCTTCTGAGGTTGATCAGTGAGTGCCAGTTTGTTGGAAGGAAACAGGAGACTACACATTAGGCTGGTCACCTAGCAGCTATCGATTCTACCTCGATATAGAAACCAGTGCCAAGCCACGAACCTGAGCCTATTTAATAAATTGTTTGGGGTAACGGCGGCCTTTTCCGAATTAGACACCATAACTACGGTAACAATTGAAATGGAAACTTTTTGATCCGTTGGTATACGAAAACGGTGGCAGCTCTACAGAGACTATATACCCTGGTTTGATCCTTCTACATGAGGTAGTAAATGAAATATAGTGAGTCAAGGCAAGGTAGCTGCTGAATAAAGTACAGGGATACGATATCGAATCATTTTTTGTTCAGTGGACAGTACGTCAACTATGAAACCTGCTGATCTGTTCATACCACCTCTGTCAAGCTGCTCTTCATCTCCACCACAACAAGCACGAGTACCATGAGAAAACGCTGTCACACATTCTCAACAACTACATAAAAGAGAACGGTCAAGAAATTTCAGAAACACCGCAGTATACCAAACCGGGCAACAGCAAGATTGCCCTGCGGTCCGCATATCGAAATGGTGAATTCCATACTACGCAAAAATATAGTTATTCTGAATAACATAACGATGGAGGCTGCAACCATAGAGATTATCGTCAATGTTGATAGTTCATATATCGCATTTTAAACTTCACTACAAATGAAAATACAGCCCTAAAAATATACATTGACTGCACTGCAAAAGCAGGGACACCACACGGCATTGGACGCGATACTCGTTCGAACACTTAGATACTGGGATGACCCAAATGACGGAGTTTTCACAAGCCCATTGCAACATCACAGATGCACCAACTGTCAACCCTGGACAACAAAGACAAGGAAAATAACAAAAGGAAAAGAAGAGAAACAGGGATGGTTCGATCGATATTTTGACTGCCCATCTGCAAAAGGATACAGTTTCGAATGTTGACGCTCTCAGTCTTTTAATGCAGTATTTAACCTCAATTCCATGAGCTGACCATGTGACTGAATTGTTAGATTCAACCTTATAAAAGCCGACCTAATCGACGGCGATGAATGCTCGGTCTGCCTCTGAAGTCGAGGAGAACATGCTGATGGTCATGTAAAGAGAGATGGAGCAAAGATTGTGCCAGATATCCCTTCAGAATGATGTTGGAGTGTTCAAACTCGACATCAAACTGGATGAACATATGTAATTTCTGCCCTCTACGACGCAAACAGATACTGGACCTACCACACTTGCCTGGGAGACAACCAATGGACGACAAAAATTGCAAATTGAGTTCCGCTAGACCAGATACATCCATTAAACGGTCCAAGAGCATGCTGAGACAATTCGATGGACAAATCACTTGGCCAATAGAGGAGGCAAATGGCGAAGGTAGGAAAATATGGGAAAACGTTTACTTGCGTTCGTGATGCACGCTTTACGAGGACAAGTTGGTCAGCGAATAACGGATACCGGATTTAACCTCAACAAGCTTTCATGACATAACTGCTGCATTTCCATAAGTTTGCTTGTTACACTGTTTCGGTATGGCAAGTCGAGTCAGCTCCTTTGATTCATTTGCTGGTAAGCTACTAAACCAAGACATACATGAATACGCTGAAATTAATTAGCTAGAAAAATGCTTTCCCTCAAAGCCCTGGGCTAAAAAAACTCATGCCCAGGATCAAATGTTTCCAACTTCTGCTTCACTGAATTCACATGGCAGTTATGGGTAATCGGTTATTAGATATTTTTGAATAAAGTGCCTCTTGCTGTTAGACTCAGGCGTGATAAACGAGCGTGTATCATTCATGTAGATCACCAAGGAATGGTCAAATTATGCCCCCATGCCATGTACTACCTGAAAGGAAGCTTACGACTAATTCAAAAGAAGAACTGAAGATCGACAAAGATGCGTGAAAACGATGTCGGGAAAGGGCAGAAGTAATGTCAGTCGTCATGTATATCGTGAGGGTTAGAAAACTCGGTTTATACAGAATTACCCTCCCCCTCCCGCTGCATATCGATGTCGCATGGTCATTAATAGATGGATAAGATGTTCACTGAAAGTTCACTACCGATTAGTCATTTACTTACGCTCTTATTTATTACTGTAGACGCTCATATGATTGTAATAATTGTTCTTAGCTCACCGTTAGCACTTGGCTTTGTTTCGTTCTCTCGTAGGATCGTCTGACAGAACGGTTGGTGGCAGAGGAACCTACGAGACAGCAGAAAATAGAACTCAGCTCTCCTGACTGATGCTCTTGCTGATTCTTCGAATTCGAGACATGACTTCCTAAACATCGCTGATCGTCTGTCTGATGAAATTTAGTGATCATCATAGCCGCTAACGACGAGGAACCTTCTGTAGGAGAACATTTGCAGAATAAAATTTTCTTTTATAATCTCTG